GGCCAAAGGTGGAGATCCTGTTGCTTCTCTGCCCTTCAAGATGGATTCCAAGGGCTTTATTGGATCCCGCTCATTTGTCTTCCAGTCTGGTCCACCGACGGTTCATGGGTTCATGCATCATATCCTGAGCTTCCGCAAAAGCGACCCGTCTTGGTTGGTTCATGGAGCAACGAAAACAAATTATTTACACTCCAGTCCACCTTGGGCCAGAAGGCTGAAATAACTAAAAGCTATATCTCGAAAATATCAGGATGTTTTACTACTGAATTCGCGTTCACTTTCAGCCAGAAAGATTCAGAGCGGACGCTGATGTCGTCAGATGCTCTCGGAGTCAGGATGGACCGCTAAGTGATATTGTTCTGACAAGTCAAAATTGGAGTTTCATTGTGAAATTTTCTCTCCTCAAAAACAAACGGAAGATTCAACAACACGAGTGTTAAATGCTTACTGGAATCGAAAAGTTCTCTTCCCTAGCTACAGCTGCCGTTCACTTTATAGGTTGACCAGTTCTCGGTCGTTAATTTTCTCTCGTTCTGAACTGGAATGAAAAATGAACTGTTCTGACAAGCAGCTGACATTTCCTGTTATCTAGAACTTTTGTCCAGGGACGAGTTTGTACACCGATTACCTCTATTCTAATGGGCGTACGCAAATGACAGATGACCAAAACTGAGTGGATTCGTTTTTATCCGATATATTACTTGAAATACTCGATCCCAGTTGCCGCAAGCATAGTTGTCGCAAGCATTGCAAATCGATGTGGAAAAAGGAACCAAGTGTGTATACTGGTAGTGATGATCGACGTTGGGCTCCGTGCAATGAAGCACGAAAGATGAATCTAATTTTAGTGTAGGGTATACTTGATAAAATCCTTAGTTTTGCGCATCCGTTTGTCCTACAAAACGAAACTGGTTTTGTTTAAATCAGCCCAACACGAAGAAACACTTATTTCAGAATACAAAGTTTACACACTTGGTGCTTCGTTGGCCTAAGTTAGTTTCGTTTGATTCTTCTCGGACAAATTACATTGAACTATCAAAATTTAGACAGATAATGCTTAAACAACCAAAAAACCCCAACAAGGACCAGCCCTCATGGTGATGGAAATGTGGAAGTGCTAGCGCTTGCTTGCAATCCGATTTCACATTTTACATTTAGTTTAAGGCTTGCTTTGCTGGGAGGTACGGTTAGCGACCAAACACAGTCGGAAATCGCGGTGATGTGGGTACTCGCATTATATATATATATATATAATATATGTATAATATAATATCGTCCAGATGTAACACCACTCTGGCACGTAACTGTCGTGCCACCCGACAGAAGTTCGTTGACCTCTGAACCTTGATGGCGGTGGCCGAGAGGCCGGGATTGCTTTCAAACGATGGACCTTTCGGTCAGTAATCTCGCACCTTCACCACCGAGCTATCTGGGTGTCCTTTTGATGTCCAGATCGATTTCGTCAGTTATGTAGATAAACATTCGGTAATTGCAGAAGCCATGAGTTAAATGCATCCAGCGACACGATGCTGTGCGGGAGAAAGTGGTTTGGGTTCAATTCTTGTATTCACAATAGTTTTTAGATGCATATTTGGAATTGCTGTCTTGTTAAAATCACTGTGTGATAGAAACCTAGAAGTTTCGGTTTTCGTTTGAAGGCGAAGACTATAGTGAAAAACTTGAACAGGTTCAGGCGACTGACATGTCTCAAGGATACACTTTGGAGCTGATTACTTCCAGCTCGATCCGGTCGCTAGTGGTGACGACAAGGCCTGTGAAAGCCTACTTAGAATAGGTTCTAAGCTCTGTAATGCACAACTCATAAGGTTGCTGAAAACTCCTCGACAGCCCACGGGCGGTTTCGCCCTTCTTGGGGATCATCAAGTAGAAGCAGTCCCCGAGTTTCCGTCAACTGCATGTTCTACATTTGCGAGACAATTTGGTTTTCCGAGAGAGCTTGTTCTCCCAATGTAACGGTGATACTACTGATGGTAGGCACGCGAGTAGTATGTGTTTTCTTTCATTGAGTTCACATGTTAAACTTACCTCAAGCGCATTGGTGAGTAGGTTCCCCGGAGTATAAAAAACGTGTCCAGTTAACAGCAGCCAGAAGTGGCTCAGCTTGTCTCCATTTGCTCAAGATAAAAGCTCCGGATTTCCATACACTAGCAACAATTTGTAGGTAGCTCAGAGTAAGAAAAAGCCTGCAGATGAGTGAAGCTTCTCTGTGAGAATTCCTTACTTGAGCAGCTAGTTAACACGTGTGATCGTATGATCTGCATTTTTCGGTTGAAAAATGAACTGTGCTGTATTTTACACTTGTAATAAACTACTCATAGGGTTGTTGAAAACACGTCGACAGCCCACGACCGGTTTCACCCTTCTTGGGGCTCATCAGGTAGGTGCGGTCTCCTGGTTTCCGTCAACCATATGTTCTACTTGAAACTAAATTGCACGAAATTAGCGAATATACACTCATTTGCAAACTAATTTGTTTCTTTCGAGAAACTCACCTGGAGCCCAGCTGAATCACTCGTTTATGATGTTCTCAGGCAACTGAATGTGCTGCACCAGGCCACCTCATGTTTCAGTCGCTACGATATTTTAAATATCGCGATACATGTATATGTGTAACGTACTACTCATGAGGTTGCTGAAAATCCATCGACAGCCCAGGCTGGGCTTCAAGCGAGTCTCTCGAAAAACCAAATAAGTATGCAAATTTGTGTATATTTGCTAGGTTCTAAGCTCTACTGGTAAAGACGTCTAATATGTCTTCCGAAGTAAGGGTTGTCGTTAGAGTAAGTGAATTACTAAATTAAACCTGAGAAGAAATTGCCACTCGCACTCTGTTATTTTCAATAACGCTCTCGGAATCATCCAGAGTAGGCGCAGTCGAACTGCATTTCGAAGTGGACCAAAGTTTTTATCTGATGCCATCGTTCCATAACTTGCCATGACATCCAATGTTTGATTCATCCATCTGAAACAACCCAAGGACCCACCCGCGCCAAAGCAGTTCTAATTTGGTCCTAACGGGAGAATAAGCTGAAACTCAGCTGTTTATAATTTTCCCAAGCAACTGAATGTGCTGCACCAGGCCGCCTGATATTTTAGTTCGCATTATATTCGAGATATCACGATACATTGTATAGACGTAATGCATTACTCATGAGGTTACTGAAAAGTCCTCGATAGCCCATGACCTGTTTGGCGCACCTTGTGGCTCATCAAATAGACGCAGTTCCCGAATTCCCGTCCACTTTACGTTCTACTTGGACCAAAAACTGCACGGAATTGGCGAATTACACTCCTTTGAATATCAGTTTTGTTCTGACGCGAGACTCACCTATCACTCAACTGATGCTTGGCATCAAATGCGAATGCGTGAGTATTTTTCGCTAACTTCAGACAGTTTGGACTCAAGGAAAACATGATGATGACGGAAACTAAGGGATCGTGTCCATCTGATGATCGCTCAATAAGGGTGAAGCCGGTCGTAGGCTATCGAAATTGGTTTCAGGAACCTTGTGTGTAGTGTATTACGTCTACACCAGCCACGTGTACACGAGTCTAAGCTTCAGATCTATTCATCATATGTTCACTTCCCCGTACCATGATGTGGCCTCATTTGGCTCGCTAGAACCAGTCCAAAGGAATGGCAACACACAGCCTTGAAGATACATTTTCACTTGTCAGCATGATTTACGATCCAAGAATTGATAGCCACTGAACGTTCAGTCTAAGCTCAGATCTATTTATCATATGTTCACTTCCCCGTACCATGATGTGGCCTCATTTGGCTCGCTAGAACCAGTCCAAAGGAATGGCAACACACAGCCTTGAAGATACATTTTCACTTGTCAGCATGATTTACGATCCAAGAATTGATAGCCACTGAACGTTCTCTCTCAGTATGTTACCGCTTACCGAGACGAGGTCGACTACTTATAACCTGATAAAGTGCATATTGGCGTCCGTTTTTCAGAGGTGAAGGAAGTCTCACTACAGTGTGCTCACAGTGTTCGGTTCAGTTTCAGCAATCTGAGCTGTGGGATCTCGTTTCGCTTCACCTGCCAGTTGAGAACATTTATCGGGCAAATCAGGGTGTAGAGTCAGACGATGTTATCAGTTTGGCCGATATATGGAACGAATTCAGCTCAGCTGTTCAACTTTAGCAGAACAGCCAACTACATTTTATTGATGTTGTTGTGGGTTAAAATAAATCGAGGAATAACACGGCAAAAAGTTCACCGAAAACGAAATTGGACTAGGAGTTTTGATGTCAAAATTCTATATTGTTTGAACGGGAACGAAATTTAGTCAAACGCAAGTTCAGCTGTAGCACCCTTTTGGCGCCTAGCTGCCATGCCATACGAATGAGGCACGAGGGCTGGGATACTGTCAGGTTGCCCAAGACTAGACAGGGGAAGTCGAGAGGCAGAGGTCGGATTCGAACCACGGACCTTCCGGTCAGTAAATTCGCGTTCTAACCACTTGAACCATCTCGTCCCAAACGCTTCAAACACTCAAGTGAGGCAGCGGAAAAGATGTGTTATTCAAACCGTATGGATGAGAAACTAGCATTCTTAGCCTAATTGCATTTACAAGATGTGTGTCCTGAGTGGTTCATACACGGAAGTGTACGATCAACGAAGCAGAATGCTAGGTAGTACATTGCCAGGTAAGATCAGGTGCACAGAAATGCCCGTTTACTAGACGATCCAGTGGCACAGCAAGGATACTTAGACGTTGTGTTGAAAAGGGATATAAAACAGCCATATTACTAAAGTGTAGTTCAAAGACGAATTGTTGACTTCCGTGAGTGCGGCCGAACATCTTGCAGAGCCACCCAGTCTGTTGATTCTGTGGGCAGATTGGTCACTTAATCCATGCACTAATCGTCATTTCACAAAGGCTTTAGAAACTCTGGCTGCTCAATTGGTTGTTAAAGTACTCGTCAAAACAGAACAAAATCACTGATAATGTATTTCACGCACAAAATACCTATGTATATCTCAAAAACTGGCGGCTATTCAACAGAAAATTGCACACTTCCTTGAAGAATCAGAGAGAAGACTTAAAACCTGGGGTTGCAAAGAATTGATGGTACACTTTCTGCGGGATACCGGGTGCCAACTAGTCAGTTGTCAAACTGCGTCTTACAACAACAACAACTGTTCTGGTGTGGTTACACAGGGAGTTGTTCGATCTTCATCGTGTGCTGGTTACAAACCAACAGTAGTTTGGCAGCCTCTGAAATGAGAAAAGGGTAGCGTCACTTTGAAATATTTTTTATAAGAATTGTCTAAAACAGTGAAAAGCATAGAATATGATTTCTTAGGAAGTAACAGTGACCGGGGACCAGCGATCACCTCAAGGCTCCTACCTGACTGACCTACCTGATGTGTACCGAGATCACCCGAAAACTAAGTCAGGGGAATTCAGAGTGGTATGGCAACCCTGAAAGCAGTTTCTTTAAAGCAGAGGCAAACTTGTGAATCTTGTAGAATTCACTAACTTACGTCACTTGCAAGGATGGCTAACCAAATGACACATGACTGGTCTTGACAGTTAACTGGTTGTAGTGTCGTACATGATGATCAGCGCCCTTCACTCCGTGAATCGGAACTCTTTAGACCTATCAGAGAATTTTGCTCTATATTTTCAACCACTTCAGTTAGATTTATGCGTCTCCCCTCAATTTAACTGCACGTTATTAAGTCGCTGGTAAACTGACCATGTTTGCAGCTAGGTACTTGATTCGGTGGTTCTGGAGTCCTCACCTGACACATTCTAGAGGTCTTGTAATCTCATATTTTGACAAAGCTAGAAGTGGAAGTGAGAGGCTCAAAAATGGATCCGTTGAAATTAAATAAGAAAGAACTCAGTCTATAGACGACAGATTCAATACCAGTGATGTACAGGCACTCTGACCCGTCAGACATCAACGTGAATGATCGATTTTATGGACTTGCGGCAATACGTTTACTAGACGGATAGTATTCCCGTCCCAGATTTGCGTATGCATAATGAAACGGGAGGGATAAGAAAATACTTTAGGCTAATATACTATTCTTGAACCGAAGTGGGAATAAGCTTGGAATGTAGAACGAACTTAGTTTAGATTTATCTGTGTTTGTCCTTGTCAAGGTAAGCCAAACTCCTCATCTCGAGGCTTCAGTCATCTGATAGCAGCAAAATATATTCAGTTTACTTCAGCAGAAGACATCCCGTTTGCATGGACAATATCCCTAACTGTTGTGAAGCGCGTTGATTTATCGGTTGATCAGAATAACCCAGTGGGCTGGTGTTTGTGCGCTTACCTAAGTCCAACCCTCCTCCGTCACCTGTTTGAATGGACTATGTGACATCACGTGAACGACCCAAACAAAATCTCATCCAGATAATCTCAAAAATATTTTAGTGAGCATTGCTCACGTTCGATGTCATGGTCACTGTGACCTTGGAAGTTCGAAGCCCATCACACATAGGAGCATATTGTGCCTATGCTTCGCGTCACATGATTCCTCACACATATTCCTTAGGGTTTGTAATGATCCAAACGGAACTGGACTACACAACTGCCAATGGAATAACCGTTTTCGTTGAGACAGATTTCATTGGTTATTCTTCACTTGCCCTTGACCAATAAGATCTATTTTTAGTATCACCTTTGGCCCGCCTAGAACTTCCCACGTGAGCTTTAAAAAAAATTGCCCTTGACAATAAGATCTATTTTTAGTAACAACTCTGGCCCGCCTAGAAACTTCCCACGTGAGCTTTAAAAAACAGCCCGTTTTGGGCTGCACACGACATGCCCGTCGACATGCCTGTGCGCGTCAGCGATCAATAGATCAGCTGATTCGCACGTTCATCGACTTTTTGGTTTGGCCAAACGCATTAGGCTATCAAGCTGCTATCCAGACTCGAGTTCACGGTATTAAGCGGGCATTAGGAAAACTGGGGTCCACAGCACTTACTTCGTGTTGAAGGGGTTTTACTTGAAAGGAGAGAAGGGATATGTAAAAACAAAGCGTACTTGTAATGGTAGCACTTGAACGACTGCAGATTCCATAGTGGACCAAAAAGTCACGTTATCCCCTAGGGACATATAGATGACTGTAAAACTGGTTGATGAGTGTGCACGAATAAGCGGTCAAGTGTGAAGAGTAATCATGATTGCTTCGGCCCACAGTTATTCGAATTTATTCCTACAAAATTTTCTGTCTCAAAAAAAAAACGAATAAGGAACGACACCAAAGGAACCGACGCAAAATCAACAGTACCGTCTCAACCGGAATGTTTTTAAAAATAAACTCATGACATCTCACCTAAGAGCACCAAAAAATTAAGTTGACGCGACTAGCTACCTATTCGGTTTTGGACCCGTCAGCTTTTTGTATTTTCGCATCTGATGTGTTACTACCTTTCGCGGTTTTTCAATTGATCCAAATTGTGGTCGCAAACTGGCCATGAAAGTGATGAAACCCAAGTTCTAGCGGTGCGAAAGTGTGAGTCAGTGCCTTGTTCTTATGAAAAATCCCAGTTCGCTGCCCGACGGTGGTGATGATATATTCACCAGAGTCGAGGAGGGCTTCCGGTGTTTCTACTTTGTTACTTGTTTGAGCCCGAATGATTCCAATTCTATTCGATATCGACAGAGCTGGGAAACTCTTCATCAGTGCCCAACACAGCCAGAAAGCTTGGAAAACCATGACATTTCTGGAGCACGAGTAAATTGAACTGCCTCAAGTCTCACGGTGGTCAAGTTGAGCGGAACCTTCTCTCCGGTAGATTCAGAATCGGAGTTACTTCAACACTGGTGATGAGAAGGATTATAAAGGATCCAGCTTCTTCAATCACCATTGAGAAGAAACTCAGTCTGGGTGCGCTGAGATGAACAACGCAGAGATACATCTGTGTTACAGGAATCGGATGACTAAATTCTGATTAGTGCTGACTGTCCTGGAGGATCCACTCAACGGATCATCAAAAGCTGATGTCTGTTCACATGCAGCTATCTTACTGATCTCAGTTCGACTGAGAAATCGTGAAGCACAGGGGGTGCACCTGGTGTACAAGTGAAAGATAACGAACCAGACCAGACAGTTACTGCAAAGTAGAGGGCAGCGAAAAACCAGAATTCGTCATTGAGGTCTCTTCTAATTGCACGGCAGTATCGAATAGTCTTGTTCTTACCTGTTGCTGCTGAATTCACGTCAACTGCTTTGAGTAGTCTTACTGAAATTTTGGGATTTCTTTTCTCCAAAACAGAAATATGACGAAAGCGCGTACGGTTCTATACTTTCGTGACAATGTATACACACAAAATGGTTCCAAAACGAATATTGTGAGTAACAGATTTGTGGCTCTCAACCAGACCAAAGCGTTCAGCTCACCTTTACAGATTTCTCCAGCTTGTACTCATGAACGTGGATTCATAGTATTTTGATAGTCTCGTGGGAAAGACTAGAATGGGACAAAACCATAGGGGAGTACGCTTCGAGCAAAGCTTATAACGCAGAGGATTTCACCTCACTCTCGATGCGCACAAACTGTGATGCACTGTTGTCATCCTGGTGTCTCATTACCAAGGCATGATCGTTCAAATTTGCAAAGGATTTAATGGCTTGACGACACAGGATTGCATGTTCCGCCTTCAGCTCATCCAACTTATCTTCGTGCCACTGATGAAGTAGGTCGAGAACCGGGCGGCTGAATGTGAAATTGACTGCGATATAGATAGCTTGTAAGGTGGAGAATATGGTAAACACGTGCCAAGCAGCGACCGACGCATAGAAGACAGAGGTGAACGCGGGAATCCATATGAACCAATGTGTGAAGGCCAACTTCAATGTGATCCAGAAACGTGCAGTCAGATAGGTAAGCTGTGGCAACAATACACAGCTGCTTGGTGTGGCATATCGTAACTTGGCTCCAATGATGATACACACGGATTGGGCCAACAACAGAACGAACAGTACAGGAAAGAAAGCGTAAAAATGCCCCAAATTTGGATTCAAGTTGCATGATATGTTTGCAAAGTCTCGACGAAATTCGCTGACTGTATCCATCCGATAGGCATACACATTCCCAATGACCGTAGCTGTGGGGATCCCCAAAACTACCAAGATCCACGCATTCCAGTAGATTATTCTGCCAGGCCAACGAAGCGTACATCGCCCGATTTCATAGTGAAACTCGTCCGCTATCGGCTTGACCGTGCCACAAGGGGTGTAGGTAGCCCCCAAGCAGAATTGCCGACAAACGCCCACAGATGACATGAAGTTGGTTGCTAAGTGGGCCAGAATGAAAAAATCTGCCATACTACCGAAAATCACATATAAGTAACCACCTCGTCTAACTGAGCAGCTCGCCAATGTGAGTAAATGTGCACAACAAAACCACAGTAGCCCAATCATTATACATGGTCCATAAAGTCGGCGTATCGTTCGGAAGAAGGATGTGAGCAGTAAATGGGAAAGAGCAGAGAGCAGGGCCAGTGTGAAACATATTTTTGTTATCGTATACGTTTCGGAATCAATGCCTTCACTGGTGGCTTGATGTTGTGTCGTATTGGGAAAAAACTTTGATGCGGAAACACTAGTGAAATTTTGAACACAATGAGACTCAGGGTTCGTTTCCATCGAGTTGAAGCAATTCGGGTGAACTAAGTTTGACCTGAAAACGAGGATGCATAAATAACTTCCCATGCAAATTCTACAGAACCCGCAACTACATATAGCCAACCAAATAACTTTTGTACTGGGAATAACAATGTGAACGACAGGAAAACTATGATTGGCCAACTGGTTTCCGTACCCGGTACCGATCGATTCTTTCGGACCAATTAGAAACGGGTGAGAGAATTTTGCCGTTTTTGCGTGTTCTGTGAAACCTTCGGGCAGTAATTTGTATGTAATGTCCGGTTATTGGGCTGTCATTGTAGTTATTTTGCGAAGGATGCCAATTAAACGACAGGAATGGGGCGTGAAGAATAGATAGTCTCTCGGCTGAGTGAGAAATCATGTTCTTACTCCACCGTCCCTGTACCATCAGTTTTTTTCAGCAGTTGACAGTGAGCAAACGTGACGCTATAGACAGTGTAAACATTGCTGAAGCTTGCGGGCGTAGAACATTAATTGAAAGCCAGAAGTCGAAAAACCGAACGCTTATATTTTGGGTCCCACTATGAGACACAAGGTTCGACCTTAACTCTTCATAAGGTGTGATGGTTCTCCTTGGTGTTGGCGGTTCAAGAAGAAGGTGGAAGGTGAATGTGAAAACCCATCAGGGAGACAAAGTTCCAAATCCTTGATGACTTGGTCCACGGAAGACGATTTTGCTCGGTCAGTGAAAATCCACTGTCCAGTAGGATATAAGCATGGCGTCAAAGTCGACTAATTTATCAAGCCAGCCAATAAAGTCGAAAAGAACGTGACGTGTGGGTAGCCCAAGGATTTTCGCAGCTCAGGGTAATGGAGCCGGCGACGCGTCACAGTTAACTTGAGCTCAGTGATGGTTTGAGAACGGATATGGTTGTATTAAACAACAGGACAGTAAAGTCAGTTGCTTGAAGTTAGAAGTTTTTGAATTCGCAACTGAGATTTGTCCTGAGAGGCCGCTAGTCAAAACCTGACCACGTGATGTGGTTCCCCTGAATAACGAACGAGTGGCGTCACTTCCTGTCCAACTGTCTGAGTTAATCGCATTACTGATGAGCAGTTTATGTCCGAAAGGCCACGGATTTGAAAGAGATTTCCTCGAGTTTCATCAAATCCGCACTGCTGACACTTCCAAATTGGATGAAACAGCTGTACCGCCTTCCTCGGCTCTTCAGAATAGACTGGCTTCACCACAGGATGGAATCGCTCTGGAAAGTTCCAGAATCTTCTCACATTATCAACATTACTTTTGAGCAACCAGGAAGCTTTACACTGCTAATCATCAATGCTCCCAGAGCACCAGGCCATGTGCTTGAGCGAAAATAAGGACGAATCCCGAAAAGCGGAACCACGTTTGAAAAATTCTCCAATACCTAGATGGCATTTCGAACAGGCTAAGTGTCGTACCTTACTGAACTTTATCCATTGCGACTAATAGTTGGCAGACATTAAAAACGTGGAATTCCGATCTCTATGTGCCCAACTAATGAGTCCACTGTCAGGTCAGTCATCACGTGTCTATGCATGATAACATATTCGACCAAATTTAATTCAACTGGATGTAGGAAAATTCAGAGAAGCTTGATTCCTCAAACAATGAAATCGACAGTTGATTAGGACTTTCGAAACCTTCCAAAATATGTTCGATCTTCTGCAAAATTCTCCCACGGCTACTGGCTCTTTAGATATGGCATTTCGGCGAAGTCATCGATCGATAAGTGACCATGTGTTCAGAAATGACAAACGCCAAGTGGGACTGCACAAACTGTCGTTTAGCGAACTACGTTATTTCGCAGTAGTTCCGTCCCTATCGTGTCTGCCCCGCTAACCGTTGGTGATTATTACCGACACACTGTTGTTCGAGATCGAGGAGAGAAAGCACTGTTGTCCGAGTTGTTATTCAGACTGTACGCTGCTATCTTCATGTTGATTCAGGATCGGTGTTAGACATAGATCCAAACAAGTGATCCACACCTTGGAAAACCATCCTTCAGACATGTGTAGCCACAAGAACTACGCTAAAAGTTGGCGCACAGTTGTTTGCATCAAATCCGGAGATACATCCAACTTTATGGCTTGTTGCTATAGTCATCCCGATATTGAACGTAATTCACACGTCAATTTAGGCCAAACCACGCACCGTTTTTTGAAAGGTACGCATCGGTTTTTGCTACTCTGGCAGAAGCTCACAAGGCTGTTCCTGTTTTCCCCCAGCAAAATGAGGTGAAGTAGTTGACTAAAAGTATTATACTACTCACAAGCTTGTTGAAAACTCTTCTCCCGGTTGAGGTAAATTAGTGTTACAAGAAACAGTAGAAGCCGAATGTAGTGCCATTGGTCAGCAGGACTGATCCTTTGAGTATATCAGTAGATTTGCGGTGAAGTTGAGGGCGTCAGGCACTATCCTATTCTGTTTGCCCTTAAGCTGAGAAGACCACTTTGCGACCGATGCACTAACACGGTTCCGCGTTGGATGATTGCATAACCGAACTAACCAAGAATGGATTTTATATCAAGGTTGATTGGTCTATGATATTCTGGTGGTTTTAACTGGCCATCAGGAAAGGTGAACTGATGGCGAGCTGTCAGAGAGTTTTCAGCAACCTTATGAGTAGTGTATTAGGTTCATACAGTGCGTCGCGATAGCTCGAATAACGTATCGACTGGTAAGTCCCCATAATAAACAAGAGATTCGGCCAAGTTCCAGGTAAGTCTGCTGTCAAAACCAAATTGATAGGCAAACAGGTGTATTTAGTTATATTTGTTAATTAAACCATCCCAGACAGGCACTCTTCCAGGTCTTGTTGCATGTGAATTGTATTCATTCATGAGTTTTGGTTCAGCATTCCTGATCACAAACACATTGTTTATGACCCCACTTCGTTCCAATTTCTCAGCACGGACTTTCTGAAAGCAGCTCGTTCAGCCCCCCAGCAGGCTTGTCGAATTAAGGTGTTTATCACATAAAACACATATGTACTGTCGAACCATAGAAGAGCCTGATTAAAATTTAAAACAACTGTATGAGAGATGTTGCCCACCGAGTAATCTGTGTTTTATTCACGTGACAACTGCTCATGGCAGGCGATCTGAACGTCAGCCCAGAAAAATGTCAGCAGTTTTAGTACTGCCACTTGTGATCGATCAAAAATCAATAGAGGGTGAGCACGCTGACTGTGCAACAAATCGAAAAATCTGAAAACCTTCTTCGAAAATCCTAATCAGCGCTGGTAAATCAATTTCCCGGATTTTCCGGCAGTTTCCCACACTTTTCTGACACTCAGATATTTTCCATGACGACTGGAATTGGTGGAATATTGTAGTACAAAGTTAAACAGGCTCCGAATATCCAAGCGAAATATCAGTTGTTCCTCGTGTCTGTTTCTTATCTGAACTGTCTCTGATTTGCCTCGAAATATGTCATGCTCATGAACAAATTAGCGGTTGTCCAAGGTCACGATCAATGTGAGTGATATCGGCTGCCGGCTCATGCCATTGTGGGTTTTTGCGGGATTTGTAGAGTTCACATCACTATCGTTTGAACAGCGTATTCGCTCTAGAGCCTCTTCACAAAAGGGGGTTGACTAGACTCGAGTTGCGCTAACCAGCGGTACGTATGCCTGAACGTACTGGGGACTTAACTTCAAGCAAGAATGATGTGAACATGAATTTTAGAAATACGGCAGCCGCCTACAACTGATGCAACACTGTTCGGAAGGTCTCGAACGTCGGTGGGGACACCCTACTGCGAAGTTCTGACAGACAGGCTAATCGACCTTGGAAGTGACTGAAATTTTCTCTCGATTACATCGCTCGCCTGTAAACTAAATTCTTCAGTCTCCGGATGGTTAATTTGAGTGCTGACAGAAAATATGATTGGATTATTATGGCTGACATGAAATTACTGTCGTGGCACGACCTCGACTGAAATAGCCTTTATAGTGCTCGGCTTAAAGTACTTAGTTGCTTGCTGAGTCCGTTACGTAAAGCAGTGAGTGGGTGTGTGGCCGAGCAAGAGGCAATAATGCATTCACCATGTTCTTTCTCATACGCACTGATTTTGTCCTAATGATAGACTCAGCTGAATCCACATGAATCTCTTGTGTACGGTGGTCCCTTTCAAACGAATGTGCTGCAGTAAACCACCCCATGTTTCGGTTGGTGCGATTTCCCAGATATCGCAGTATATTTTCATAAAGGAAACTATTTCAAACGGTTTCTGAAAACTTGTCGACAGCCTACGACCAGTTTGCGATTTCCAGATATCGCAGTATATTTTCATAAAGGAAACTATTTCAAACGGTTTCTGAAAACTTGTCGACAGCCTACGACCAGTTTCGCCCTTTGTGGGGTTGGTTCATAAGGTATGTGCAATCCCCGAGTGTTATATCTGCTGATTCGTCAATATGTGGTATATGCTGCAGACCCGCTCCAGTGCCTAGTTGCCGGAAAAAGATTCACAGAAAGGAACACAACAGCTATATTCCGAACAGGCGAGTGCGAGTGCGTGAGTGCGTGCGAGAGCGAGATCAAAAGTTACAACGGCCCCAGTGGACTTTCTGACATTGATCCAGGCTGTCTGATAGGCGTTAGTGAACATCCGTCAACATCGATCGTGA